GGAAGGGGGAAAGGAAAGGAAAAAGGACTGTTAATACTAGGAATAACAGTTAATTGGTTGTTACCTGAATTTGAGTTATTTTTAGTAACCATAAAGCCATTGGATTTCTGGGCCACATGTCAGTAATAAAACTAGGAAGGAAGACTATCCTTTGATTCTCACCCTCTCTCTTACCCCCTCTTCTTCACCCAAGCCCCAGATGCCCCTGAATTCAGAAATGTAAGTTTTGTCCAACCAAATAACAATAAGAAGCTAACCCTCCTCAAAATGCTAATTTTCAGGGTCACCAGAGTGCTCTTTGTCCCATGATCCCACCCTAATAATACCTCTCTTTCTTCATTCAAACACTAGAATTTCCTCAACCAAAACAGAATAGTAGAGACTGGCAGTGGCACATGAAATGGCGTTACAAATGTATATTTGTCAGCCCTCCTGTTTATACTGTAATAGCATCCATTGTAGGAGACACCTCTTCTACAATGTTGGAGGTATTACCAGGCTATAATATCCGTATTCAAAGATGAGTAGACAGGGAAAATCTAAAAAAACCATCTTTCATAAAGGAAGGTGGTAAATACAACTCTCAGGTAGAGCATATTTTTACCTCCCAACAGTATAAGTCATATATCCCTGTTATAGTTCATATCTTTCTGAATTTTTTATAGTACATAAACAAAGTCATAAAAATAAATTTATTTGATTGACTACCTTAACTTTTTTTTAAGTGTGCTCTCATAGGGTAGGGAACACATCTGTTTTTGTCACCACTCTGCTCTCATTCCTTGGCTTGTATCTAAACATTCAGTAAATATTTGTTTGAATGAAATAGAGATTGTTTTAGTTAAGACTCTTAAGAGAAAAAAAACTTATTCAAAATACTATGAGTTTAGTCATTTGTTTATATTACGGTTCAACAATTTTTTATTGATACCTGCTGAGTACCGTAATTGGCAGTATACCATAGTGAATAAAATCCCACAGTCCCTACATTCATGAAACTTATGGCTGGTAGATGGGAGATGATGTTAATGTCTTGTGTGATTTTTTTAAATTAAACTGTGACTGATAATTGTTCTGAAGGCATATTACTCTGAGACCGTATAATACAAAGGTTTGACCTAGCTAGGGTAGAATTTGCTCTAGCCAGACAACACTTTAATGAGGAAGTGTTGATTAAACTGGTACTTGAATGTGGAGTATGAGTTACTCAAAGAGTGAAAAAGAAATATATTTCAGGTGAGTGAAGTCACATACAGAGTCCCTGTGTCACGAGGAAAGCAGTATGTGTCATGGCTTATGTGGCTAGAGTGTTGGGACCAAGAAGGAACCCTGTTGAAGAAGATGAGGCAGGGAAAACAAAAGAGGCAAGCTGAGAGAGGTAAAAGAAAAGCCAGGAGATTTACATGTTATATTTGTTTTTGTTTGTTTGTTTTTAAAATATATCTTTATTGATTTCAGAGAGAGGAAAGGAGAGGGAGAGAGAGAGCTAGAAACATCAATGATGACAGAGTCATTGATTGGCTGCAGCCCGCAACCTGGGCATGTGCCCTGACCAGGAATCGAACCCTGATCGCCTGGATCCTAGGTTGACACTGAACCGCTGAGCCACACCCGGCCGGGCTACATGTTATATTTGGAAACCAGAGAAAAAGAGTATTTCAAGAATAAGGGAATGAGCCATATAAAATGTTATGAAGAGATTACACAAGAGCCATTTTGGCTGAGCAGTGGGTCTTGTTCTTGTTCACACAAGAGAATGAATTCAAGTACCTGCCAGTGGAGGATCTCTTGTCAGCCAAGAAGGGTAGACAAGACTACATGATTCATAAGCATTCAGGTTTATTTATTCTGGTCACCATTCTTTTAAGTTGCTTTACTTTGCCACATTCCTCCCTCATATCATCCCACATTTTGTTCCCTCTTCCCACACTTCCCAAGCTCTTTGTATAATCTGTCTTCTAATGTGAAATTTACAAGACCACTGTTGCTGTGCCCCTGAGAGTTTACTTGACTTATGATTTTAAAAATTATGTCAGTAGAATGAGGTGATGATCCCAAGGCTCCAACAAGGAGTAATGCGTGTGCAGACCATTCTTAGCTCTAAGACTTCTACAGCAAGAATGTAGAATCTATTATCTCAGTTATATCTCCATGAATCTTATAAACCAAAACATGTTCTCCTAAATTCTGCACATCCTTTTTCTGTGAACATAAGACATGAAATATTTCCACGAGTACCAGATTATGTTATTTTGTTTTTAGAAACCTAACTGTGCACATACGCTGTGCCTGATAAATTTCTGTACTCTTGTTCCTTTCTGATAGAAACTACCAGTAAGACATAGCTGAAGAAGGTTATAGAATTAAGTGGAGCTGGTTTTGGTTTATTCAGGGAGATTTGATCATGTGTAAAAACAAATGACAAGAGAGGTACAATGTTCAAAAGAGAGAAAATAATACATTTGAAGATGAAACAGGATGTATTCTTCAAGTAAATGGGATTAAACTCTTGGTTGGCTTGTGTTTTTGGCATGGGGAAAATGAGGAGATGTTGAGGTTCGCTGTTGAGGATTGTGGGGTAAGGGAGGTTGGCCTCAGGTTTGAGTAGAGTGGAGGAGGTTTCAAATAGTCCTTGGGGAAAATGGAAGAGTTTCAGTTGTTCAGAAAAACATAAATTTATAGGCAGTATTGAGAGCCCTTTTTGAAGTTGAAGGTTATGAATCTATAATGTAATGATTGTTCTGTCTTTTGATAGTAGAGCTGGGCTCATCAGTTACAGGTCTAGAAAAAGATAGTTAGATTTAACCAGCACTGGATTTTACCAGATGGGTATAACAAAAAAAGAAAGAGGCAAGGAAGTTTAGGATACTGGCGGAAATGTTACTGAAGTGGTGGGCATGGCATCTAAGTGGGGTAGAAGAGAAGTGAAGAAAGTAGAGGGCTCTTAGTTTGGGAGAAAGTGGAATAGGTGGACTGGAGATCCCAAATTAATTGAATATGAGAAATAAACAAAGAGGTTGAAGAAGCAAGTTAGATGGAGAAGGACCCAGCAGTTCCACTTCTGGGTGTTTGAAGAAACCCAAAACACTAAATTGAAAAGACATATGCACCCATATGTTTATCTCAACATTATTTACAGTAACCAAATGTGGAAGCAACCTAAGTGTCTATTGACAGACTAATGGATAAAGAAGAAGTGGTGCATATACACAGTGGACTATGACTCAGCTATTAAGAAGAATGAAACCTTGCCATCTGCACCAACGTGGATGGACCTAGGGTATTGTGCTGAGTGAAATAAGCCAGACAGAGAAAGACAAGTACCATGTGATTTCATTTGTGGAATCTAAAAAACAAAATGAACGAACAAGCAGAAACAAACTTATAGATACAGAGAACATTTTGATCGTAGCCAGATGAGAGGGATGTTGGGGGTATGAGTGAAAAAGGTGACAGGATTAATTAGTACAAGCTGGTAGTTACAGAACAGGCACGGAGATGTAAAGTAGAGCATAGAGAATATAGTCAGTAATATTGTAATGACTATGGATGGTGTCAGGTAGGTACTGGACTTATCAGGATGATCACTTTGTAAGTTATATAAATGTCTAAACACTATGTTGTACACCTGAAACTGAAAAAACAGTGTATGTCAACTGAAATTGAAAAAGAAAAAAGAACATGGTGAGCCTGCAAGTTGGGTGCGGTGGGTCTCAGGGAATCACCAGGGCAGGGCAAACGTTACCCAGATTGATAACGTTACTCCAGATTGATGGAGATTCAGATATGGAGCCCCCCTGCACTCCAGGGGCGGGCTTACCAAAGGAACAATGGCCTCTGACAGCACATCTGTCTGGGAGAAAGCTGTCCCTCCATCCCTACAGCCCCCACTGTGAAGCCCGACAATTCAGTTCCTCCCCATATGGAAGCACAGCTGCCCCAGTGCTGGAGGTCAGAGCAAGTGAGTGCGAGTAAGTCCATGTGTGGGCCCTATAAGAGGAATGCCTGGGGCTCCAGCAACCTTCCCATTCATTTACCCACAATCTCCTCTAGTTCTCACAGCCAGAAGTTATGGGAACTCCTTTTCCTGGCACTGGGACTCTGGTCTGGGACCCCTTGCAATTCAGGAGGGACCTAAACAGCCCAGATATCCCTCCCAGTTTTTAACCACCACATGTGGGTGTGGGACCAACCTGTTCCTTACCTCTGCCCTTCCTACCAGTCTTGATGTGGCTTCTTCTGTAGATCCTTAGTTATATGACTTCTGCTCAACCAGATTATCAGGCAGTTCTCACTGATGGTGGTCTCTAGTTTAGTTGCTGTTTTGATGTGGTCGTGGTAGCAGGCAAGTACACCATTTCCCTACTCTGCCATCTTGATCAGCAAGTTAAGGAACACCATACTATATTCTTTCATTTGATTTTTTTCTTGCCAGTAATTTGTGAGTTAGAAATCTTACATTATATTTCTATTAATGGTTACCTGTGAATTTTTAAAAACATTTCATACTTCCCCAAATTTCTAAACTATAAAAACAGACTATCTTGTAACTTTCTCATATCTAAAATGAGAATTAGTACTTGAAAATTCTTTAATAGCTTCAGTGTTTATCACCAATCTTTTGATAACCCTGTTTTATATATCAGCCTGTCTCTTCTTGTTTAAGTACAGGGTTAAGCACTCTCCTCCATATTGTCCTCTAAGTGAATCATCATGTTCTCCATAAGATTCCATAAAGTATTTCCTTGCTTCCTTCTCCTAGTCTTCTGTTCTTAACTTTAACTCCTAAACCTTTTCACTCCATTATTCTCAATATCCACCTTCTTAATTGAAGGTACCACCACTTCCCAGTGTCAGGACTAGGAGATGGTGTTGGTGTTCTCCTAACAATCCAGAATTACATCCAAATCTCTAACAGTAAACTACTCTTATGTTTACATGTATGATCTATCCAAAATTAGTAAGGTCTAAAGTATAGTAATCCCTCACCATCTACAGTTTTCAGAAAGTACAGTTTTATATTTATATTCCAACCATTAAAAAATATATTTGTTTCTGCTCAGTCTCCTGAAAGAACACATTATTAAATATACTTGGGAAATGCAGGTAGAAAGAAAGCAGGGGTTGTAATATTAAAAATCAGACAAAATTGAATTGAAGGCTAAAAGACTAAATAGAAGGAGGATGGTAAATACAGAAAATTTATTTTGCAATGTAGATAGAACAACATAAAATTTGATGCACTGAATAACATAGTTGACCTCATTTATTTGGTGATTCTGAAGTGTATATTTTCACTTTTTACCATCTTTGAACTTAAAATGTGTTTTCCAGTGCTATAGTTTAATTGGTGGACTCTTTCTTGCTTAGTGGGATATAAATTAATGATGTATCTTACAATCAATGGTATCTTACAATCTGCAGGAAAATCTGAAGCAAGTTAAGGAACACCATACTTTTGTGAGACGGACCTTTCTGTTTCTGACAGGTTTGGTAATCAAAAACAAGTATGCAGATACAAAATCTAAGCAATATAATCAATTGATTTAATAGTTATAGGTTAGATTCTACACCCCATGTAAAAAAATAAGCCATTTCTCATAGGCTACTAAGTAAATGCCAGAAATTTTAAAACTACAGAAAGAAAAGAGATTACAACAATGACTCCAAAGCTATAAAAGTAAAAAGTAAAGCAAACGTAAATAGAAAGCAATCTCCCAACCACTATTTTGGGGGTTTTCTTTAATAGACAGTTTTTATTGAAGTGTATCTGCAGAGAAAAAGTTATGTACAAATCATAAGTGTATTACTTGATAATTGTTCTCTTGCATAATCAGATTACAAGCCAAGAAACAGAATCAAAGAAAAATTGCCTTAGTCCCACAAAGCCAAAGCCCTTATACCAAAGCCTTTCAGCCATCCACTTCTCTCCCCAGTGATAACTATTTTGATTTATAACCCCAGAGATTAGGTTTTCCTATTTTTGAATGTTATATGACTGATTCATACAGAATGTACTCTTTTTAAACCTGACTTCTTTTGCTCAGTACTGTGGTTCTGATATTCCTTTGTATTGGTACATATAGTTATAGTTTGTTCATTTTCGCTAATGATAGCATTACATTGTTTGAAGACAGCACAATGTATTCATCCACTCTATTGTGGATGGACAGTTAAGTAGTTTCTCATTTGGGGCTTTTGGTGGGTGTGCAGGTGTGCATTTCTATTAGGTTGCATGTCTGCGGGTGGAATGACTGCTTCATACGGTCTGCGTAAGGTCAGCTTTACTAGATACCACCAAAAGAATTTGCAGTTATATCAATTCACATTCTAACAGCAGTTTATAAGAATTTCTGTTTCTCTCTACCATCATAAATACTTATTACTATTGTCTCTTCCCCGGTAGCCATTCTGACGTAGTGGTATCTCATTTTGCTTTAAATTGTTTCTTTCCTGACTAATGACATTGAACATCCTTTTATGTTGTCCTTTTGAATATGCTCTTTTCTGAAAAGCCTGTTCAATTGTTCTGCCCTTTTTTCTGTTGTAAACTGTTTACGTTTTTCTTATTTGTACTTTTTCTTATTTATCTATGGTGTCATTCTCAATTGCAGGAAAAACCCTTAAATGATTCATTAAACATGATGATTGCTGTAGAGGTTTTTATTTTTCAGTATTCTTTATCAGATTAAGGAAATTGCTTTCCATTTCTAGTTGGTTAAGTGTTTTTAATCACTAATTGGTGCTGATTTTATCAAAATTTTCCTGCATCTATGAAAATAATCATGACTTCCTTTTTCTGTTAATCTAGGGAATTACACTGCTTGAATTTCAAATATTAATCTACCCCTGAATTCCTGGAATAAATCCCATTATCCTTTTCGTATATAATTGGATTTAATTTGTTAAATTTTGTTTAGGATTTTCGAATTTACTTTCATGAAAGAGATTGACCTGTAATTTCCCTTTCTTGTAATGTCCTCGCCAGCTATTGATATCAAGATTACTCACCTAGCCCTGGCCGGTTTGGCTCAGTGGTGAGTGTCGGCCCACAGACTAAACCCAGGTTCGATTCTGGCCAAGGGCACATACCTCAGTTGTAGGCTCCATCCCTGACCCCTGTCGGGGCTCGTGCAGGAGGCTACCAATCAACGTGTCTCTCTCACATTGCTGTTTCTCTCCCGTCCACTCTCTTTGAAAAGCAATGGAAAAAATACCCTTGGGTGAAGATTAAAAAAAAGATTTCTTACCTAATGACTTTCGAGTGAAAGTGGTAGAAAAAATCCCTTTGAATTTTTAGAAAAGAATACCAGAATGCTACCTTTCAAAAATCTGTTGGAAAATGTCTGTTTCTGGCTAAGATGACATGGCTTATTTCAGACCAACCCTACCATCAAGAACAAAACCATTTAAGTATAAGCTGCTATGAAAAACAGATAATATATAATAATGTTATTTAACATATACTACATATAACTCTATATAGTATATATAGTACATATTTATATATAAACACACATATAAATATTAAAATTATGATTGCTATAATGAGCTCAGTAGATAGTCTGAAGAGTAATATGGGCATACTAAACATTGAATCAGTAGGCTAAAAGATCAGGCTGAGGGATTCCGTCAGCACATAGTACAAAGCACCATGAGATGAAGAGTATAGTCAGAATTTCTAATATCTATCTGATGGAAGTTTTAGAAAGAAAAAATGGAAAAGAGATAAGAAAATATCCCTTAACTGAAGAATTCTATCTTTAGATCGGGTCAGCAAAATTTTACTATAAAAGGCCTGATAGTAAATATTTAAGGCTTTGTAGACCTTACGGTGTTTGTCACAACTGCACAACTGCTATTGTAACATAAAAGCAGCCATATACAGTAAGTAAGCGAGTGACTGTGTTCCAGTGAAATTTTATTTACAGTAACAGGAGGCAGTCTGAGTTTGCCATAAGGCTGTAGTTGCTGGCTCCTGCTTTAGATTGGAAAGGCCCACTGAAGGCCCAGCCGGCCTTTTTCTCTGTCTCCATTCACCTGTTCTGGATGTTTCATATAAATGGAGTCACATGATATGTGACCTTTAGTGTCAGCTTATTTCACTTAGCATTTTTTTGAAGTTCATACACATAGTGTGTGGATCAGTTCTTTGTATGGCTGAATATTCCATTGTATGGATACCACCTATTGTTTATCCATTTATCTGTTGGTGGACATTTGGGTTGTTTCTACTTTTTTGCTATTGTGAGTAGTGCCACTATGAACATTTATCTATAAATATTTAAGTGTGTTTCTAATTCTTTGAGTAGATACCTAGAAGTGGAATTGCTGGACTATATGGCAATTCTATGCTTAACCTTTTGAGGAACTGCCAAACTGTTATACACAGTGACTGCACCATTTTACATTCCCACCAGCAATATATAAGTGTTCCAGTTTCTCCACATCTTTTCTAACTCTTGTTTTCACTTTTTATGTTATAGCCTTCCTTGGGGTAAGAAACACAGGAGTTTCTTGTAGCTCTGTGACTTCTCATTTAATTTCACAGATATTGTGAGAGGCATCCACAGAGTAAAAAAACAAATGCAAAATTCTTAAATTAGGTACTGAGAACTAGCATGTTTAAAATTTATTTAAGCATTTGCATCTGAGATGGTGGTTTGGGTGGTGATCATCATTGTAGATTATGTATACGCATACACATCTCTATTTCTCTTTTATTCTTTCTTTAGCTACCTGAGAAGAAAAGGAATAATAATAAATGAAACACCTGCAGTTGTATATGCTCAGTTACTCACAGGTCGAAAATATCAAATAAATCAAAATGGTGAAGTTCGTCTAGAGAAACAGTGGTCAAAACAAGTTCTTCCTTTTGTTTATCAAACTATTGTCAAGGTAAGTTCTCTTTCAGGTATCAATTCTATCTTAGTGGGCACTGTTGACACTGTATAAAGAAAAGACTATATAAAATATTAACATTGATATCTAAGCAGGAGAGTAATGTAGCAATGTGTAATGGAGGCTACTATTTAATATAATTTGTCAAGTATTGTCTCTTTTAAAAGAAGGGTTACCTATGCAGACACTCTGGTTAGGAACGTGTCCTTTTAATTTTTTTATTTTCAATCCTCACCGAAGATCATGCTTAGAGGGAGGAAGGGAGGGGGTGGGGAGAGAAAGAAACATCAACGTGAGAAAGAAACACCCATCCATTGCCTTCTGTGCACTCCCTGACTGGGGATCAAACTGGGAATCGAACCGGCAACCTTTCAGTGCACAGGACAATGCTCAACCAACTGAGCCACTAGAGCCAGGCTAATTTATTTTTTAACTTAATCTCTAAAGAAAAAATCCCAGCATTAACTTACACCCTTGCATTTTTAGATTTTTATTCTCAAAAAATGTTTGCCTTAAATAAATTAGTAAAGGCAAAAGGCCATTGTTGTGTTTGTAATCTTAGATATGGTATGGGGACAAAATATTTTAAAGCATGTGTAGTGATCCTGTAATTTTGGGGAAATAGTATAGTGTAGTGATTAAGAACCCAGACACCTAAGTTGACTTCTTAGCTATACAACCTTGGGCAAGATTCATCCCCTTTCTGTGCCTTAGTTTCCTCATATGTAAATTGGGGCTAATAATGGTCTCTGCCACAGAGGGTTTTCTTAAGGATTAAATGAACTAATAAATGTGTGAAGTGCCTGGAAGAGTATCTGACATATAAGCAGTCAATAAATTTTAGCTACTAGTACTGTTATGTAGACCGTCTTTATATTTGACATTTATAAATAATGTAGCCATAGTCCTGTAGGAAAAAACTTGATGTACAATCTGTAGAAGTTTTGACTGTGATCATTTACTTTTATATTTCATTCTATATAGGACATCCGAGCTTTTGATTCCCGTTTCTCCAATATCAAAACATTGGATGACTTGTTTCCTCCTAGAAGTATGGTCTTTATGCTTGGAACCCCCTATTATGGCTGTACTGGAGAAGTTAGTTCCTGTTACTGTTACTAATTGAATTTCTTCTGGTTTGAAATTAATACAATTCTTTACCTTCTCTTTATTTAAGTGTAAAATAGTAGGTAATACTGAAGGGGGAAAAATAAGAAAGAATTCATTTATCTAACTAATGAATGTAGTATATGGCTATATATCTTTAGTCTTGAGCAGGTTGGGGTTAGGAAGTGGGGAGAAAAAAGAATTTAAATCCTGCTCTCTTTCGTAGTGCACTGTGGTGGTACATAGGAATCAATTCTATAGTTACTTTATTTTATTTTTTATTTTTAAAAAAATATATCTTTATTGATTTCAGAATGAGGAAAGGAGAGGGAGAGAGAGAGAGATAGAAACATCAATGATGAGAGAGTCATTGACCAGCTGCCTAGCCCGCAACCCGGGCATGTGCCCTGACCGGGAATCGAACCCCGATCGCCTGGATCCTAGGTCGACGATCAGCCGCTGAGCCACGCCCGGCTGGGCTCTATAGTTATTTTAGATGTATTATTGGGTTGATGAATTTGTGCATGTGTTGATGTTTTGGGGAGGTCCAGCTCTCACATGGAAAAAGGTACATGCAGATATGCATACCTGCCTGAACATACACATTTGCTAACTCTGTTTGTGCAAAAGGGTAAGAAGCAAAGACACTCTGGTAGCAGTGAACACATGTGCCCACACCTGACCTCCGATACCATATCCCACTAAAAAGAACAGGGCTTCTCAGAGAAATGGCCGATTGCAGGGCTGTGGCAGGGTGGGTAGAAGATGATCGTGGTACCTCTTGTCATATCAGAAAGTAAGGAGGGGCTCGAAAGAATGATGGAGAGCATCCCATAATCACAGGAACAGGTCGGAGAGGCTCCTATGGGTCCAACCTGGGACAGCTGGAGCATCACAGAGAAGTTCAGTAATGAATTATAAACCATTGATTGCGAAGGAAATAGTTTAGGATTTCATAGTGGTAATAGGTAGATAGTGAAGGGCAGGGCTCTTGCTTAGAGTATTATGTCGAGGGCTAATGTGGGGAGAGGGCTGGAAGTAGAAACCATCATTTTACTACCATTAGGATGAAGATTGATTTAGGCAACAATCATCATTGGAAACTAAGTCTAGGGGGAATTTTGATCAGAAGCAGGATATTTTCCTGGTCTTGAAAGTGTTTTTTTACAAACTGTTTATTAGTTTCAAGGGCAACAATTAACTGATTGTAGAGTGAAGAAGTTGAGCAACATCTTGATGGTATGAACAGGGTTAATACTATTATGAGAGACAGATGAACATCATGTACCTCCAGATGTGGTGTTCTAAGAAGCATACACTATTCTGGTTCAGAATATATATAACCTTAACCTAAAGGAAGCATCGGTTAAGTCCAAAATGAGTAAGCTTTTTTTTTTTTTTTTAGGGGCAGGGTGGAGAGGGAGGAATGAACTGTATTCTTCAAAATGTCAATGTTATGAAAGTCAAAGAAAAGGTCTGGATATATATTCTAGATTAAAGGAAGCTAAATAGATATGACAACTAAATGCAGTATCTGATCATAGCCTGGATCCTGTAGTGGAGGGAGAGAAGAGTTTTCTACACAGGACATTTTTAGGTCAACTGACAAAATAGGGATATGGACTGTAGTTTAGATAAAAGTTTTTTATCAATGTAAATTTTACACTTACCTGTACTGCGACTGTATAATAAAATATCCTTAGAGAACAGACACTGAAATACTTAAGAGTAAGGAACATGATATATGTAATGTACCCTCAAAAAGTTCAGAGGATAATTATGTATATTTAAATACACATACAGAGCACAAATGTTAAAACAAATGGAGTAAAATATTAGCAGTAGGGTGGTCAGGGTAAATGTTTTTCAAGTGTTCTGTGACCTGTCTTTAGTTTTGCAACTTCTTGGTAGTATGAAACTATTTGCAAATTAAAAGTTAATTTAAAAAAATCAAAAGACTGGTTAAACCAGCTGTTGAAGCAAGTCAAAAGACTGGTTAAACCAGCTGTTGAAGCAAGTGACTCTGATTTGCAATATAATCACATTCACTTACAAATTCCAGGAGAATTTCCGCTGTCACCCTATTTCAGAAATAATAAACACTATTCAAATAAGTAGGAAAAAAGTAAATAAAATGTAGTGAAAGAAACTAAAACATACTGTGATTTTTTTTCCTCCAAGGTTCAGGATTCAGGGGATGTGATTACAGAAGGTAGGATTCGTGTGGTTTTCAGCATTCCATGTGAGCCCAATCTTGATGCTTTAATACAGAACCAGCATGTGAGTACCATGGTCCATACTGTTTACTTTAGAGTTGATGAGCTTTAAAAATATTAGATGCCAGGTGGAGGGGGGATCAGGGGAGGAAAATGGGGGACATCTGTAATACTTTTCAACAATAAAGATAAATTTAAAGAAAATAAAAATTAAAAAAAGTGTTGGATATTTTTGCCAACTTTTTTGAATTTATTGCAGATATTTTATTTAATACTGATTAAATTCCCTCGCAGTTATATCTAATATTATTTAAAAATAAGTGTGGAGTCTGCTCAAAACTTCATGTAGACCTTGGGTGGGTGGGGGACCACTGAAATCCCATCATTAATCTGTGATGGTTGTGGTGATTATGGGTGATTGGATTCAGGCTTAGAAGCAGCACATTGATTATTAGTATACCTTCTGGGAGTAGACTTGAGTGTTTTAAATGTTTCATAATTAATCAAAGCCTTCATTTTTATTTACACGTGACAAATGGCCTTCCTGCACAAGTTAAATGTCTCTGCTCAGCTAAAGATGGACAGTCCCTAGAGAAAAGTTGGAAATTGCATTTAAGGTCACATCATCCTTTCTCGGGACCTTTTGCTCCAAAGATGTTCACTGGCCGCCTTTTACTTTTCCCTGTTAAATAGGGAGAGGATCCTGATATATCTGTCATTTTTCTTACTGATTGGATAGTTACGTTGACTAAAATTAATTCACAAGCGGCCACTATTGCTACTTTTATTTTCTCTAATGGCAAAATCCAAAGCTTTGTATCCTGTGGATGGATTTAAGGCATTAGGCATTAGCATACCCATGAGGAAACTTTATGGAAGGCAGAAAAGGTCCTAAAATCTTACCATTAGGCCTCTTTCAGAGGAATAATCCAGAAAGCAGAGTCAGGAAACCAGAACAGTGGTCCATTAGATAAAGAAGTTGTAGTTCTGTTCCAGGAGTCAGTGGAGGTGGAAGAACTTGTATTCATTCCGTCATGCCTCGTTTTTTCTAGACCTGAGGGAGCCTTCCCACTTCTAGGGTTCCTAGGTATACTTACTTCTCTTTACATACCTTCTTTAACTTCTTCTCATGCCTTCTTTCTCTTCCATAAAGTTCTTAGCTATTTATGTTACATTTTCTAGGTTGTTTGTGTGATTTTAATTAATTTCAGTTATACTTTATACTTTAACCCAGTATTTCTAAAAAGGAGTACTATTGGTATTTTGGGCAGGACAGTTATGTCCTTTATCTGGTAGGACACTTGGCATCCTTGGCCCCTGAACACTGAGTGGTAGTAGCCGTACCTATTAATATGATGTGCCCCTACACATTTCCAAATGCTTATTAGAAAAATGGCACTACCTGTAATAAAGAACTGCTACCTTGATTTTTACTGTCTATTCTAGAAAGCAGACTTGATTTTGTCTGTATTATTTCTAAATCTGATAAGGTTCTTGATGGAAAACTGTGTCATATTCTTAGCCTATTAATGTATTTTAATAGTAATTTTATATTCCAGGCCACTAAAAATATTTATCCATTTAGGAGTGATTGTAGACATGATCATTAAAAAAAGAATGGTGGCTGGGTTACTTCCTTACCAATCTCTGGAAATTTTGTATTTATTGGTGATAAAATGCCCTTATATTCATATAAAATATGAGTATAAAACATTTATGTAATTCATGTAAATATGCATTTATTGTATTCATATATTAATGTGAGTACAGTATATGAAATCCTTACAAAATAACTTATCATTATCTACATTGTGTTAGAAGTGTATGGTAACTTACTCTAGTTAGTACTGGATTTGTAATTGGCTTCCTGATTAAAAATTATATGATCTCATACTTTAAAAAAATTAATAATCTTCATAGTTTCTTCCCTTAAGTACACAAATTAAGATTACATTTCATTGACTGTATTAATTACGAGCTTATACATACTTGTTACTTTCATGTGATAGTAAATATTTGGGCAGGGGTGGGGAACCTTTTTCTGCCAAGGGCCATTTGGATATTTATAACATCATTCAAGGGCCATACAAAACTATCAACTTAAAAATTAGCTATGAAAAAAGCTCCTAGACTTATTGAATTTTAAGTCCTGCCTGTGGTTGCATTGGCAGGGCCAGACCAAATGATTTTGGCCTGAGGGCCAGACTTATATCCATCCGTCTATGAAATATACTTTTAATTTTGCTTAGTAGCAGCTGTTTTGATGACATATTCATGTTTTAATTCAGTGAAATAATTATCAAGGCCTGATTTTTGTCCCAGGTACTTTACCAAGCCCTACTTGGAATATGAAAATTAATTTTAATTCTTGCTTGCATTGTTTGCCATTTATTACTTACAGTACAGTTTATTTCTTGATATAGTTTCACAAACTGTATATTTCTTTTTCCTTTCACCTGCCCTTGGGAATTCTGTCCTTTAAGGAGGGAAGGAACAGAAAGATTCTACCTACAGATCCTTTAAAAATTGGGGGGGAGGGGGAATGATTACTTACTTTTGAGAATTCCTATATAGCCACAATCCAGTGGTTAGTTATGTCTTGGTTACCTCCATATTTTAAACATAAAGAAGTAACAGTTAATGCTTTGTGTTTCTATAATTCACCTTTTTGTTTTTATATTTAAAGAAATATTCTATAAAGTACAACCCAGGATATGTGTTGGCCAGTCGCCTTGGAGTGAGTGGATACCTTGTTTCAAGGTTTACAGGAAGTATTTTTATTGGAAGAGGATCTAGGAGAAAGTAAGTTTATGTTAAAGAAATTTACTTGAAAAGGGCAGAAAAAATTGAATGATAAAGATAAATGGTTAATATTTCAGTATACATTTCTCTTAATTGCTCTAACTTTTCCTTAAAAATTGTGCATAAATTTCTCTGGTCGTGATATTTTATCTAAATGGTGGATGAAAAGACAGTTGTTATTTTTAACAGCTAACAAATTGAACCTTGAAAAAAGGTATCAAGGTGTGTGTGAATCTCAATAATATATTTCCCTGCATTCTTATTTCATTCTAATTACATAATTTACATCAACTGTTATACTTTCTTACTTGGATTCTGAAGCCTTTCCTCTATTTTTTTTCAATTACTGCTACTTTGGAAATAACCATGATAACTAAAATATAGAAGAACAATCAAAACTGACTTTTTCTAAGAATTGAAAGCAAAACTTTGTGTTCTTTGAACAAAATTTTAAAACTTTTGTGTGTGTGTGTGTGTGTGTGTGTGTGGTTTAAATTCAGCCCTCATGGAGACCATAAAGCAAATGTGGGTTTGAATCTCAAGTTCAACAAAAAAAATGAGGAGGTTCCAGGATATACTAAGAAAGTTGGAAACGAGTGGATGTATTCATCTGCTGCAGAACAACTTCTTGCAGAGTACATAGAGAGGTAAGTGCCGAACAAGATCCTAGTAGGCATCCAGAAACAGGAATGTAATAATTTTGCCTTGCTGATATGTTTTAGAGGGAAAATGTTTCTTTTAGGAAAATTTGACATATGTTACATGTAAACTTTTATTTTTACATTGACAGAGATTTATTTATTTTAATGTTTAAAAAAGATTTTTAGCCCTGGGTGGTTGTTCAGTGGTTAGAGCATCAACCTGCAGATTGAAGGGGGAGCAAGTTCGCATCCAGTCAAGGGCACATAACTCGGTTGTGGGTTCTATCCCTGGCTCCAGTACGGGACATGTGCAGGAGGCAACCAGTCTATGTGTCTCTCACATCAGTGTTTCTCTCTCTCTCCGCCCCCCCTCCTTTCCACTATCTCTAAAAAAAATCAATGGAAAAAAATATCCTCAGGTGAGGATTAACAAAAACAAAACCAAAAAGTTTTAATTACAGTTGACATACAATATTATGTTAGTTATAGGTATACAGCATAGTGATTAGAGATTTATGTAACTTACAAAGTGATCATCCCAAAAAGTCTAGTACCCATCTGACACTGTGCATAGTTGTTACGATATTATTGACTGTATTACCTATGCTGTACGGTAACATCCTCGAGACTATTTTTATAACTGCCAATTTGTACTTCTTAATACCTTCCCCCTTTTCACCCATATCCACAACACCCCTCTCATCTGCTGACCATCAAAATGTTTTTTGTACCCATGAGGTTGTTTCTGTCTTATTTTGTGCTTTAGAGTCTACATATAAGAGAAATCATATGGTATTTGTCTTTATCTTTGTGACATGTTTCATTTAGCGTAATACCCTCTAGGTCCATCCATTCTGTCACAGGTGGTAAGATTTCATTCATTTTTATGGCTGAGTAATATTCTACTGTATATATGTACCACATTTTCTTTATCCAATCATCTATCCATGGACTCCTGGACTGCTTTCATATCTTGGCTACTGTAAATAATGCTACAATGAATATAGAGGTGCGTATGTCTTTCTGAATTAGTGTTTTGGATTTCTTCAAATAAATACCCAGAAATGGGATTGCTGATTCATATAGTAGTTCTGTTTTTTATTTTTTGAGGAACCTCTGTACTGTTTTCCATAGTGGCTGCACCAGTTTACAATTGCACCAACAGTGCATCTAGGTTCCCTTTTCTCCACATGCTTGTTAACGCTTGTTTGTTGATTTATTGATGGTAGCCATTCTCACAGGTTTGTGGTGACGTCTCATTGTAATTTTAATGTGCATTTCCCTGATGATGAGTGATGTTGAATATCTTTTCATATATCTGTTGGCCATTAGTATGTCCTCATTGGAGAAATGTCTATTCAGGCCCTATGTACAATTTTTAACTGGATTGTTTGGGGGTTTTTTGGTGTTAAATTGTATGAGTTCTCTATAAATTTTGGATATTAACCCCTTGTTGATGTTGGATGTATCATTGGCAAATAACCTTCTTCCATTCAATAGGTTGTCTTCTCCTTTTGGCAATTTTTCCCCCTCTCTGCAAAAACTTTTTAGCTTGATGTAGTCTCGTTTGTTTATTTTGTTTGTTTTCCTTCCTGGAGGAGGCATACTCAAAAAGATATTTATTACTGTGAGTGATGTCAAAGATTTTACTGCCTATGTTTTCTTCTAGGAGTTTTATGGTTTTAAGTTTTACATTTAAGTCTTCAATCCATTTTGAGTTTATTTTGTTTGTGGTGTAAAAAGTAGTGTGGTTTTGTTTTTGTTTTTTTTTAACATGTACCTGTCCAGTGTTGTCAACACCATTTATTTAAGAGATTGTCATTATCCTATTGTGTATTCTTGTCTTGTTTGTCATACATTAATTGACCATATAAGCCTGTGTTTATTCCTGGGCTGTCTATTCCGCTGCATTGATCTATATATATTAATGCCAATACCATGCTGTCTTTATGTAGCCCTGTAGTCTAGTTTGATATCAGGTAGCATGACACCTCCAACTTTGTTCTTTTTTCTCAAGATTGCTTTGGCTATTCGGAGTCTTGTGGTTCCATAAAAATTTTAGGATTATTTGTTGTAGTTCTGTGAAAAATGCCATTGGTATTTTAATAGGAATTACATTGAATCTGTAGATTGCTTTGGGTTGTGTGAACATTTTAATGATGTTAATTCTTCCTATCCATGAACACGGTATATGCTTCCATTTATTTGTATCTTCTTTAGTTTCTTTCTTCAGTGTCAAGTACAGGTCTTTTACCTCCTTGGTTAAATTTATTCCAAGGTATTTTATTTTTTGATGCAATTGTAAATAGGATTGTTTTCTCAGTTTGTCTTTTTGATAGTTCATTATTGGAGTATAAAAATGCAAACGACTTCTAAATATTGTATGCTATTGTGCTGAACTCATTGATCAGTTCTAATACTTTTTTGGTAGAATCTTTAGGATTCTGTACATAGAGTATCATGTCATCTGCAAATAATGACAATTTTTTTGTTTTTCAATTTGGATGCCTTTTACTTCTTTCCCTTGTCTGATTGCTGTGGCTAGGACTTCCAATACTATGTTGAATAGAAGTGGTGAAAGTGGACAACCTTTTCTTGTTCCTGATCATAAGAAAAGCTGTTATACCTCTTCCTCGTTAAGTATGATGTTACCTGTGGGTTTGCCGTCTGTGGCCTTACTTGTGTTGAGGTATGTTTTCTCTATTCCCACTTTGCTGAGTTTTTGTCATAAGTGAATGATGGACTTTGTCAGATCCTTTTCTGCATCTATTGATCTAATCATGTGGTTTTTATTCATGTTATTTATGTGGTGTATCACATTAATTGATTTGTGGATATTGAACCATCCTTGCATCCCAGAAATAAATCCCACTTGATCATGGTGTATGATCTTTTTAATGTATTGGTGAATTTGGTTTGCTAATATTTTGTTGAGACTTTTTGTGTCTATGTTCATCAGGAATATTGCCTGTAATTTTCTAATTTTTAATGTCTTTGGTTTTGAAATCAGGGTAAAATGAGCTTGGGAGCCTTCTCACTTCTTCAGTTTTGAATAGTGTGAGTAGGATAGGTGTTAATTTTTTCTGAATATTTTATAAAATTTACCTATTCAGGGCTTTTGTTTGTTGGAAGTTTTTGATTACTGATTTGATTTCATTGCTCGTAATCAAGTCTGTTTCGACTTTCTGGTCATTCTCGCTTCAATCTTGGAAGACTGTATGTTTCTAGGAATGTATCTGTTTTTTCCAGGTGGTTCATTTTGTTGGCATATAATATTTTCTTATAATCCTTTGTGTTTCTTTTGTATCAGTTGTTATTTCTCCTCTTTCATTTCTGATTTTATTTATTTGGGTCCTCTTTATTTTTTCATAACTCTGGTGAAAGTGTTATCAATCTTGTTTATCTTTTCAAAGAACCCGCTATTGGTTTCATTGATCTCTTGTATTGTGTTTTTAGACATAAGTTTGTTTATTTACACTCTGATCTTTATTATTTTTTTCCTTCTATTCACTTTGGGCTTTGTTTGTTGTTTTTTCTAGTTCCTTTAGGTGTAAGTTTAAATTGTTTATTTGAGATTTTTTTCGTCTTGAGATAGACCTGAATTGCTATGAATTTCCCTTTTAGAACTGCTTTGGCTGTGGCTTACAGATTTTGGGCCTCGTATTTTCATTATTATTCCTTTCATGATACTTTCTGATATCCTTTCTTTTTTTTTTTGATGTTTTTGTTGCTTTCAAAGAGAGGAAGGGAGAGACAGAAACACCAATGATGAGAGAGTCATTGATTGGCTGCCTCCTGCATGCCCCTCACTGGAGATTGAACCCTCAACCCGAGCATGTGCCCTGACCAGGAATTGAACCGTGACCTCCTGGTTCACAGGTTGATGCTCAACCACTGAGCCATGCCAGGGGATCTTGATATCTTTCTTGATTTCTTTGTTAACCCAGTAATTGTTTTGTAGCATGTTATTAGGCTCTATATGCTTGTGTGTTTTTCAGTTTTCTTCTTATAATTGATTTCAAGTTTCATACCACTGTGATTCGAGAAGATGCTTGGTATGGTTTCAGTCTTCTTAAATTAATTGAGAACTGTTTTGCGGACTAACAAGTGATCTACCCTAGAAAATTTTCCATGTGTGCTTGAAAAGCATGTGTATTCTGTTGCTTTGGAGTGAAATGTTCTAAAAACATCAGTCAAATCCATCTGGTCGTCTAATGTATCGTTTATGGCCACTATTGCCTTGTTGATTTTCTGTCTGGATGATCTATCCATTGACGTCATTGGGGTGTTTAAGTCCTCTACTATGACTGTGTTATTGCTGATCTCTCCTTTGATGTTTCAATATTTGCTTTACATATTTAGGTGCTACTATGTTGGTTATGGAAATGTTATAAGGGTTGTATCCTCTTGTTGGATTGATTCCTTTTTTTTTTTAATTTTTAAATTTTATTTTTGTTTAAAATATTACAGATGTTCCTTTTTCTCCCCAATAGCCCATTCCACTCAGTCCCATCCCCCTCCTTAGTCCCTCTCCCCACCATTGTCCGTGTCCTTAGGTTGTGTGTATACACATATAAATTCTTTGGTTACTCTCTCCCCCTCCACCCACCCGCCCTCCTCCATCCCTCTGACATTCGTCAGTCTGATCTATGCTTCCATGTCATTGAATCTGTTCTGTTCATCAGTTTATTAAGTCCTTTAGATTCCACGTATAAGCGAGATCATGTGATGTTTGTCTTTCTCTGCCTGGCTTATTTCACTTAGCATAATTTTCTCCAGGTCCATCCACACTGTCCCAAAAGATATGAGATTATTCTTCTTTACAGCTGCGTAATATTCCATGGTGTAAATGTCCCACAGCTTTTTTATCCACTTATCTACTGATGGGCACTTCGGCTGTTTCCAGATCTTAGCTATTGTAAACTGTGCTGCTATGAACATCGGGGTACATATATTCTTTCTGATGAATGCTTCAGGATTCTTAGGATACATTCGTAGGAGTGGAA